ATACTTTGTTATAAATATATATATATATATATATATATAATTATGTAGACTCGGTCTTAAGTAAACAGCCACTTCCTGCAGTTTTTTACCGCACAGCAAGACGCAAGACTCAAGCTTTATATGGTGTCTAATACATAGTATGGAAGTATCCTAAAGTATTCATAAAAATATATTTATCGTATCTTTGTCACGTTTTAATCACGTTTTAAAAGTATATATGATTGGACTTTTAGAACGTGATTATTTTTTAGTAGAGCTTTAGACATCGGTCGCGGTACGAAAGATGTGCTCAAGCAAGAATTTAATTTGGTAATCAAAATTTGACCTTTTAAATGTTCGTCCAACTCCGCTCATTTCCTATTCGACACGGAACACTTTTTGTTGTTTTCGGTAACGGTGAGTTTTAAAAATGCAGAATATTTAGCGTATAGATGTGACAACTTTTTAAAAAGTGTATATGACAYGGAAAAATTTCATCGTTTAAAATGTATAGTTTGTTAGTAATAATCAATATATCGTAATGAAGTTTGTTTCAAAAGCTTATTTCTTGAGATATGTGTGAAAATTAAGCCCAATTTGTGACGTTATTTTGTTGACACATACTCTAGATTCGGTAGTAATGCACTAAATATAAATTGTAATTCGCATAAAATAACAACAAAAAGCATATTCTATTGAACTTCATTTGATAGCTTACGTAGTACTCTTCAAATGTTGGGAAACTGAAAAGTGTACTATCCGAAATTAAGATTCTACATTCAAACATATTTCAGTCGTGTATTTGCAAATAAATCTGGAGACTTGTAAACAAAATGACGTCACAACTAAATTTTCTTGGAATTCTAGAGAAATACGTCTTTGAAACAAATTTAATCATGATATTCTTAATAATGCCAATAAACTACACATTTTTAACATCAAATTTTTTTCGTGTTATATGCACTTTACAGCTTTAAAAATTTTTCATGAGAATTTTTCAAGAGTGGAGATAGCAGAAAACTAGTAAAAATCAAAATAAAATCTGAGTAATCGTTAGATTTTAATGTTTTTACGTTTCAAAAATAATAAAATGTATTTTTATTTTTGTCGTCGTGATTAAGTCACGCAAGAGATAGCAGTCATATATTGGCTGTGTGGTTTAATATAAATATTTTTTTATCTATTTATATCTTCCATTTAAACATGCAATGACTTGTTTGCATGCACAGATGAACTTGTCAAAATCAAACTTGACATAGACAAATATGGGCATTAATTTTTTAGAAGATTCCTAAAAAAAATCAAAGTTGAAAAGTACCTAGTTGAAGAATTAATGCGATATGTTGCGAAATGCCATAATAGCAACTTAAAATCCGTGACTCATTAATTCAAATTAACGAGACCCACAATGCCCTTTGGTCTTGAAATGCACTATTCAGTATGCAGTAATGATAAAAGGGTAAATTATGCACCGTGAAAACATGAAAAAACCGCTAGATTTTAGCTAGTTATCTCTTCTATTCAGTATGCAGTATTTAGTATTCAACCATTTTTGAAATAGCTGTATATTGCGATATGTTGCAATGTGCATGTCTGATGTGGTGAAAAAATAGCTATAGACGCTTTTGATAAATTCCACCATGTCTAATTTGCCCATTTGACTTCCTCGTGAAACATCGCCGTCTCTGGACCACAAAACACACTGCTTTTCCGAGGTTCAAGTCAATAAGTGTTTTGTTATATGCCAAGCGTCAAAGAAAAAAAAGCAGTTATTTGATTTTTTGATTATTTGATTTCGAAAAACATTTCTGGGAAAATCACTTCTTGTATTGTTATTACCGGTTCAACAACATATTGTTGCCCGCTGAGAGCCGTTGCCAGGGAAACATCGAAACTCGTTCACGTGATACCCTCTCGCCCAGACAGAGTACGAGAAAAATGGACTTTGATAGTTGGTATATAACAATGCAAGATGTTGCCATGTCACCCTTGTTTCCTTTTCTTTTCTTATCCTATCTTCACATTTACCTTATCATGAATATATTTTCTTAATTTTGAAGTTAACACAACCTGGACTAACATATAAAGATGGCAATCAAGGAAAAGGTCTTCTGGATTGCTATACCGATGTTCATATCTGCAGTTCTTCTAACAATAGCCGTAATTGCCATTGCTATTTATTTCCAAAAGCTACGCAAAACAATTGAGGCAGAAATTAAGGCAGAAACCCAAAAGGTGGACAAGAAGACAGTGAAACGAAGGAGGAAGGAAAACAAGTATTCCAAAAGTAAAAAAGGAAGTGAAGATTGCGAACCGGAATTTTACGACTCACCCCCGATGAGGGATGAGCATAGAGAACACTTGCAGCTAAAAACATTTCAAAAGCAAATAAGAAATGAGGATGACTATAATCAATGCTTGTCACAGACATCATCACGAGACCATATCACGCAATTAGCTGCGTCGCGTAAGGTATCGCGTCATGCTGAAACTATGCCACGCACTTTAATGAAACAAGATTCGTATATTGAATTTATCGGAGACGAAGTAGCTTTGCAAACAATGGAAACCTTTCAGAGTACTAAGGTGGCTTCAAAGGGAGAACATGCAACGCAAGCGCAATTGAAATACAAAAGTCACGCTACATCTTTGGGGAGAGCTGGTATAGGTAACGAGTGTAATCGAAGTGTGGAGCCTAACACTAGATCATCAAATTTGCGTGGAGCGACACTCCCTCATACTTCATCACCAATCAAAAAAGACCCTGGCTATGGTTTCAAAGGTGCCTTTCGTGACATTGTCCCGCAGCAGCAGGTGTCACGGAAAACTAACCCAACAAGTAAAAATGGCCACGATGATAGAGAGATGTGCGAAGTTATGGAAAATAACAGCGAGATGTACGAAAATACAGGATACATGAGCGATTCGACCGAGGATGTTTATGAAAATCAAGAAATAATCGAACAAGAGGATAAAAGACGTTCGCAGAACTTGAATATGCCGCAAGTTCCACAACATCAAAGAAATTGGAACTCACAAACTGTACCGTACCATAAGGACAACTGTAAAATGGAACTCTATGAAAATCAAGCGATTGTGGACCAAGTAAGGAAACTTGGACATGGACAGCATGACGGTGATCATTTTGAGTTATACGAGAATTATATCCACGAAGAAATGTATGAAAATTGTTAGTTGTCACGTGGGTAATGATGTATATAGTCATGTATATAAACATTTATATTTTTACCACCAACTACGCCTCGCGGGTACTTAATAACACTTTGACCAACTGTTGTCGTTAAATTGTGGTAAATGAGAGAACATGCCACGCTAAACCATCGCATATTTCTTAATTTACTCCCAAAAAGAAAAACGGTTTTGAGCGCGCTGGAGCCGTGCACGAGCGATTCGTAATCTTTGGATGTAATTTTTTTGGTGTGTCTTCTTATTAAGTTCGCTCCGATCCTGACCAATCAGAAATCGAGAAAATTTACATTTGTGATAAAAAAATTTTTTAGAGCCTGATTAGGAGGATTGTTCAGTTCCATAAGATGAGGCRTGACTTATAGGTCGGGACAAAATACATCTTCTTGCCGTTGATACGCAGATATAGTGCTTATTTTGAGCTACCTTTTTAATTGTAATGACACAGTAAAAAAAACAAGTACATACATATTTATTGCAATTATGTTCACCATTAAGCGACCAAAACAATCCAAAATCTCTGGGGTTTTAATTGGGTTTCTTTAACTTTGCTTTACTGTGCAGATACTCCAGGACTGACACAAGTGAAAAACGTCTAAATCCGTATGCAAATTAGAAACGTCTTTATGCAATTGTGAATCGCTTGTAAATTTGACTTTCAAACATGCCTGATAAATGGAACTTCGCAAAATTCCAAAATTTAGTGTCCATGCTTGAAACTTAAGGGTAATTCTTCTAAATTCTGTAAAAAACACGCATGCGCAAACGTTTTTCTCTAGTGTCACCAAGACCACTTTCAGAAATAGTATCATTGACCAATCATTTGCGACATTTAGTTCAATTTTTTATGCAGCCAATCAGATAGCACATTGATATAAGAGGTGGCAAAACTGAGGCAGATTTTTTAATCTGCTTATACACTCGATGTAGCATACACTTGTGACAAAAACACATTTCATAAACGAGAAACATGTTTACTCAACATCGGCTAACTTGCATTGCTAAGTAACAAACTTTAGAATGTTAACTTTTGTGGCTAAACGAGGAAACTTCAGAAAACATTGTTTCCAAGCATCTTGGAAGCATGAAATATTTCTGCGGCACATCAGAAACATTTTTGCATCTCGGAAGCAACATTTAATTGTTGCTCGCARCAATATTTCCCATGTGGCTAAACTTGAAAACATCTTGAATACATACGCGTGGTAAACATGTTTCTTCGCTTAGCCAGAACCTTATGGAGTTCCTGTGGAATTGGTGGGGACATTCGCGAGAAGCGCCCGCACCTGCGCACCACCATTGGGTTTCACAAGGGAATGTATGGAAGTTATGATGAACATATCACAATAAAGTGTCAAATCTCTCGATGGTTTGCTGCTTTAAAACGTGCCTAAGACGTTTCTTGTACCTTTTTCAATGTACTGATAGAGTTCCGATTTGAGGCTATGAACCATACACAGGAACCTTGTTTGGGCTGCCTGTGTCTGTTGGGACTCTCCCGACGCCACGTGAACTGAAAGCGCTTGTTATTTCTCAGAGAGTTATTTGATTAGTTATTATATCTTGCTGTTTTGTAACTTTAAATAATTAAAATGCTTAAACTGAATAAACCCTTTTTATTACCCAACTTTTTTTTTTGTGATCAAATAGCGTAAGTACTTGACTTGCGAAGCACGGGTGGCGTAGCGGTGATTGTGCTCACTTCTTATAAATGCGCAACCCGGGTTCGGGTCCCCCCCCCCCTTTTTTTTTCCTTTTTTTTTTTTTGGGGG